GTGGGGCCTCTTGGGGGCCTCTTGGGGCCTCTTGGGGCCTCTTGGGGGCCTCTTGGGGGCCTCTTGGGGGCCTCTTGGGGGCCTCTTGGGGCCTTTTGGGGCCTCTTGGGGGCCTCTTGGGGGCCTCTTGGGGGCCTCTTGGGGCCTCTTGGGGGCCTCTGGGGGGCCTTTTGGAGGCCTCTTGGGAGCCTCCTGGGGGCCTCTTGGGGCCATCTTGGGGCCTCTTGCGACCTCCTTGGAAGCGCAAATGAGAGCTGCCCCCTAAGAAGGACAAAATGGGGCCACAACTTTCGTAAAATCAATGATTTTGCTATAAAGGACGATGAGCGCTGCCCCCTCTGAAGGCCAAAATGGGGCCAAAACCCTAGTAAAATCAATGTTTTTGGCTTCAAAGACGAGTTGAGGGGCCAAACTCCCCCCCCCCCTCGGGACCAGAATCCTCGTGAGGGTCGTCGTTTTTTGGCCCTCCCAGGAGTCGAAAAAGACCCCCTTGACACCACCCGGCCCGCCCTCTCCAGGTCCAGGGGAGGGGGTAGGGGGAGGGGTAAACCCCTCCCCGAAGGGGAAGAAGGGGGGTTGAGGACAGAGCGGGCTCTCTAAACCACTCACGCCCAAAGGGCTGGTGGGATTCGTGATTTACCTTTGGCCCTACTAAGTACTAGAGCTCCTCCACGGCGGCCAGCCCTCCATGAAGAAGCGTGCCAATTTACTTTTGTTGGCAGCTCGCCGTCCCGAGAAGAGCGAGAGCGAGGACGGCTCCGTGACGGCATCTGCGTACGATCCCACGGGCAGTCAAACCCATCACATCCATCACGTTCGCCCATGCGGACCTTTGCAGGTGGTGCTTGTCTAACTTTCCCGTCACTTGATTCATGTGTTCGCGTATGGGGCGCCTTCGGTGTCGAAGTAGTGAATATTTCAGGTGCGGGTCGCGGTGTCATGGGCCCCGTTGGAGAGATGGAAGCAGGGGGGGTATCTGGCATAGGCATCTGCGCAGGCTTCATGTGTCCACGAGGTGCAAGCCCAAATGGTTGCATTGCCATCCCACCAGTACCATCAGAAGGACCCTTACCCTCGGTAACACGCCACCCTTTGCCCTTCAATTGATCAAGGACTTCTGGAGATACCCCCATGCCATATGGATCATGTGCTGCATGTTGCGGCGTAGGCTGCTCTGACGGCACCGGTCACGTTGGTGACACCACGCCTGTGAGAGGGAGTCAGAGGATTTTCCATGGCCGCGGTCTCCTCCTCGTATGCCTGCGCGTCTGCCTCATCCTTCGCATCCACTAGGGGGGGTTGATAGCTACTATCTGCCCGCCACGCCTGAGTATGCTGTTGTTCCTCCTCTGCAAGGATGATTGCTAGCTCTTTCTCTTCTTCGTCGGGGTAGGGAGGAGGCGAAGTCTCAGGCATGGGGGGTGTTACCTGAGCCCCACCATGAGCCTGGATCGCATTGACGAAGTCCTGCTGCTGCTGGTGTTGTTCCGCTTGGATGAACTCTTTTGCAAAGTCCTGCAGGTCCTGCTCTTGCTCGGCCGTGGTGGCCGCTTCCTGCTGTTGAAAGAACTCGTGCATCTGCCGCTGGTGTTCCTCAGGTGAAATGCCTGCGAATGCCTGCTTCGTCAGCTGTCGTACCCACTCACGATGTCTCTGCTGTTGAAGAAGAGCCTGCTGGTGTTGATCCTGGATCCGTTGCTCCTGTTGCAGGCGTTGCTGATCATCTCGGTTATGTGGTGCCATCCATTGCTGATGCTGCACCTGCTGCTGCTGCTGGTGTAAACCTTGGAATTGCTCGCATTCTTGCCGAATCGTCTGCTCCATAATCTGTTTAGGCTGCTGATTCTGATGGTGCTGCTGAATCATCGCCTGTTTCATCTCCTGCTGAAAGTATGCCTGGGCAGTCACGAGTTGCGTCAGAGACGGGACCTGTGCCATGAGAGCTGCCATTTCCTGCCCTTGTTGGGAATGCGTCTGCTGAGGAGGATGGCCTGCTCCATGAGGATCCTGACGCGGTCCCTGTCCCTGCATATCCTGTTGCAAAGACACCTGCGGTTGTTGCCCTGGTGGTTGCTGGTGCTGTGCAGGGTGTGGTGCATAGTCCGTGTCCACGTCAATGAAGTCCTCGTCCTCTTTTTCTTCCAGGCGTTTCATCTCGAGCTGCTCAATCAACTGTGCGGTATGATCACGTTTAGGACGTAGTTTCTGTACTTGCTCGATAATATTGCGCTTCTCAGTCACCAGTTCCTTGATCTGCGCATCTAACTTGTCGAGCTCGTTCTTGAGGATCCGTTTCTGACTGTAACTAGGGCGTACTGCGAGGAGCATGAACTTAATTGCGTTGATCTCGTCCATGCGAGATTGGCACGGCTCATCGGCGGCCTTTGAAGCGGCCATAATCTTCAACAGTTGAACGTTTCGCTTATTCCATTTCTCTTTGTATTGTTGTACCTGCGCTTGCCATTCAGGTGGATCCATGTAACTCTGGTGTTTCTGCGCGTCCTCGGGTTTTGCGACCTGACTCTCGTCGTATAAGCTTGCCAACTTCTTGTCTTCACGTGCATGCTGAGGGTGCTGTTGACCCCGTCCACGAGATTGGTTTCTGCCATATCGCTGCTGCTTGCCCCATGGAGTGTGCTCTTTCCACGCAGCCTGACCTCCATGTTGTGGCTGATGCTGCCGCCCACGTTGCTGCTGAGGCTGATGTGACTGTTGTGTCCAGCGAGTCGCCATCTGCGCCGAGTGGTGGTGATTCATGGTATTCACCGCTTCCACCACTCGAAGTAGCGTGCGTGCCGGTGAACGGCGTGCACGCTCGCGACGGTGCCAGGCTGGCTCGGCCGTCGGCCCTGCAGCAGCGCGCCAGGCGCGCGGGCAGCAGCGGCAGCGGCGCGGCTGCGGCGGTCGATGGCCTACCCGCCGCGGCGCGCGAGCCCTGCCCCGCGGGCGGCCGACCGCGATCAGAGCGTGAGCCGATCGGCGCGAACAGCGCCGAGCGACCCCGAACGGAGAGATCGGTCGAAGCCCCCAGCCCGCCAGAGGCCAAATGGGCTTCCTCCTCCCTCTGCTGCCCCTCCTCCTCGTCTTCCTCTGCTGCCCCTCCTGCCTCCCGCTCCCGCTCGCTGTCCTTCCCACCCCGCCCCCAAGCTCGAGGACGAAGGCCGTCCCAGCCGGAGGCCCCCCCCACTCCACCCAGACCCCCCAGGACCACCCCCTTCCGGAGTCCAGGATCAAAGTTCGCAGATAATTATTGTCGGACGTTGTTTGGTCTCCCTGGGCTCCTTGGTGGCCAATGCTGGATTCACTCCGAAGTTATGGCCAGCATGCACCCGTAGGCACCCGTGGCCGATGTTTCAATCCCATGCGCAAGACCCCAGGCCTCCACGTCTCCAAACATCAAGATGGAGTTTGTTGTATGTCTGCGCCGTCCGTGGACCCTTCTCGGGCTCTGGCAAGAAAGACCCAGTACCAACACAGTGCTTCCAGGAAGGAGGTTGGTCCGCGAGCTGGGATATGATATCCGTTAAGTAAAGACTGCTCGCAGAAATCAAGTACGTTTGGAGTCCCAGATTCCAGTATCATGAATTTTGACCACTTTCTCTTATTTAATCGCTTTGCTCATTCCGCCGGCCCATACGGTCTCATGTCTGCCGTTTGCCCGAGGGCCTGGTGTCAATGCGGCGCTTTGGGGGTTCCTGGGGCCGCTTGGGGGACTCCTGGGGCGCTCGGGGGGGCATTTGGGGGGCCTCCTGGGGCCGCTTGGGGGACTCTTGGGGGCCTCCTGAGGGCCTCGTGGGGGCCTTTGGGGGCCTCTTAGGGGCCTCTTGGGGCCTCGTAGGGGCTTCTTAGGGCCGAGGGCTCGAAATTTTGTTTCGTGCTCCCTCTCTGGGGCCCCTCTGCGGGTGTTCTTGGGGCCCTCTTGGACCGTCTTGGAGGCTTCTTGGGCCGTCTTCGAGCCCTCTTGGGCCATCTTGGGGCCCTCTTGGGGGCCTCTTGGGCCCTCTTGGGGCGATCTTGGGGGCCTCTGGGGCCGTCTTGGGGCGTCGGGAACCGAAAAGGTGGAAGCTCCAAAATCTCTCAAAAACCTAAGGAAAAACAATGAATTTTGCCTCCGGGGGCCCTCTTGGGAGTGCTCTTGGAGGCCTCTTGGGGCGTCTGGGGGCTATCTTGGGCGTCTTGGAGCGATCTTGTGGCATGTCGGACCCCTCGTGTACCATCTTGGGGGCCTCTTGGGGGCCTCTTGGCCTTTCTTGGGGCTCTCGGGGACGTCTCGGAGCCCTGTTGGTGCGCTCATGGAGCGCTCCTGGAGCGCTCTGGGGGACTCCTCTCGGGACTCTCTCAGGACCTTGCCGGGGTACTTTTCGTCCGTGGACCCCCAGGGGCCGCCCCGCGCGCGCGAACTAGAGAATTGTTAACCAGTTACCGGAGATCTTAGCACGCCTCTGGCCCGTTGGGCCGGCGAATTTCTTAACTATTGACGGGCGTTCCTTTGCCTTCCTGATTCCGGGGCGTGCCGAAACCCAAGCTATTTTCACCGCCTTCCTATGCCACGTTCCTGCCTGCAGCTTCCGAGCGGCCTGCGGCCTGACCCCCGGATCTCCGACGTCGCGATGCCAGTCCGTCGGCCGAGCGCTCGACCTCCTCCTCCTCCTCCTCCTCCTCCTCCTCCCTCCTCCTCCTCCTCCTCCTCCTCCTCCTCCTCCTCCTCCTCCTCCTCCTCCCAGGACCAGCATTTCACTCCTGGTCGTCTGTGGCTGCCCCCTCGGAGCCCGAGAGCGGCTCCTGGAGGCCAGGCCTGCGGAAGCACGCTGGGCGGAAGGGACCTGCGGCGTCGGAGGTCTGAGCCCCGCCCCTTCGTCTCGACGGCGCCGAAGCACGAAGGCCGTATCAAAGGCACTGAATTGAAAGGAGGAGGAGGAGGATGAGGAGGGGGAGGGGGAGGAGGAGGAGGAGGAGGAGGAGGAGGAGGAGGAGGAGGAGGAGGTTGGTTGGCCCTGCAGGACAAGAAGCTCTCGCCGATTCAGATCTGCGTGCTGCAGACGGCGCGTGCGCACCCCGCAACCCCGCTTTTTTCCGGTCAGTAGCGGCAGCCTCCGGCATTTCGTCGGCGGCTCCCCTTCGTCTCATGTACAGAAGCGGGAAGTTAGGCCCATAATACCCATGGAAGGAGAAACAACTACATAATCATAGACTGCTGGCGGTCCGCACGGATTTCTTGGATCTGCGCTGGGACCCCCTCCCTGGTGGCGCCTCCGGCGCCGCCTCTGGCGCGCTCCGCGCGCCAGGGAGGGAGGTCCAGCGCGGATCCAAGAAATCCGCGCGACCTCCAAAAGCTTCTGCTCATGCCGTCTTTTGTTCCTCTAGCCCAGCTGCTTGTGGCACATCCCGCCCCCGCGCCAACGCAGCAGGTCAGCGGGAGCGAGATCGAGTTTGAAACCCGCTCCAAGTCAGTGCCTGGTCTGAACTGGCGCGACTCTTAAGCCCCGCCTCCTTGTCCGCAGCCTAGTTCTATTGCGACAAGCTTGCGGCCCGTGCCGCCGACCTTAAGGGGACGACGACGACGACGACGAAGACGACGACGACGAGAGCGACGACGACGACGACGACGACGACGGCAGCGGCGGCGACGACGACGCTGACATGGGTCAGAGTTCTCAGGGATGTCCCTTGGGGTCTCTTCGGAGCGCTCTCGGAGGCCTCTGGGGGGCAATTTTGGGACTCTTGGGAGCCACTGGGGGGCCTCTCGGGAGCCTCTTGGGAACCTATTTGGGCTTCTCGGGGGCTTCTTGTGGCCTCTGGGGGCGACTAGGGGGCCTCTTGGGGCCTCTTGGGAGCCTCTCGGGGCCGAGGGCTCGACATGACCGTTCAGGTCCCCCGTCTAGGCACCCTCTTGGAGTCGTCTTGGGGGCCTCTTGGGCCGTCTTGGAGGCCCAGGTCGTCTTGTGGTCCTATTGGCTCGTTTTGGGGCCCTTTGGGAGGCCTTTTGGAGCGATCTTGGGGCCTCTTGGGCCGTCTTGGAGCATCGGGGAGCCGAAAAGGCGAGAACGCCACCATCTGTCAACCACCTAAAGCAAATCAACGAAGTCTGCCTCTTGGGGCCCTCTTGGGAGTGCTCTTGGAGGCCTCTTGGGGCGTCTTGTGGGCCTCTTGGGATGTCTGGAGGCTATTTTGGGCGCCTTGGACCGATCGTTCGGCGATTCGGGAACCTCTTGGACCGTCTTGAAGGCCTCTTCGGGCACACCCAGGGCCTCCCCTCAACACCCCCCTGAATACCCTCCCCGGCAGGGAAGGGATCCAAGGGAAGGGGCTTCCTCTCGATTCGTCTACGACCTTGCTCAATTTCGTTTTGCTGGCGCGGTTAAGGAGGAGGGCCCATGGAAAGCGGAGGGGGTGACGACGACGACGACGCCGACGCCGACGACGACGACGACGACGACGACGACGACGACGAGGACGGCGACGACGACGACGACGACGACGAGTCAAACGTAACAGCGTCTCGCACACGCCGACAGAGTCGGCGGATTATTTTTCCCCTCTCCGTCCTCATTTCCCTTCTTGACGGCATCTTGGACGCTTATCGGGGTTGCTTTGGGTTCTTCTTAAGACTTCTTGGGGAGCCCGGGGCCGTCATGGGCGCGAGGGTTCCACCGAGCTCCTCTCGAAGAGGTTAGAATGAACCATGTGGAGGCCCATGCCAAGAACCACCCTGCTTGCCTCCAGGGTGCCCTGGGTTGCTTGGGTTTCGATGGTGTTGCTGTGGAAGGCGTGACGTTCCCACAATACACATCAAAGGACGTCCTGGAGTCTCAGGGTTGGGTTTCTTGTGGAAGGTTTCTTGTGGACTGGCCGCCACTGTATTTTGGGTTCTAGGGTACTGTTCGGCCGTCGTGGGTGCTTTCGGGGGGCTCACATGAAGTCACCCGTGGATGACGCACGCCTGCGTTCCGCGCGTATCCTCAGACATTCCTTGGCCAGCGTTGGGCCATGTTTGCTCAAGTGCGACGCTATGGCAAAAGGAAGGCCCGTTGGGACTTCATGATTGCAAAGGGGCCTTGAGTCGGGAGGGTGCGTTGTAGCATCGCTGATGCATCTTGGATTTGCTCGAGCCCTCTCCACCTCCCTCCAGGTCCAACGGACTCCAGAGAAAGGGGCTTTTGAGACCGGCGATGCCGATTGCTTAAGTCTGCTCGGATTCGCCAACAAGGTCGCCGCATGACGCTTTCTCGGATTTTCTCGAAGTCTCAAATGCACGGCCGCGGTTTCAGAAGTCCTTTTCGCTGGCGTCCCTCTAGGAAACGTGTCTTCGTTGTGCTTGGGCCTCTGGGGACCTGCGGAGACCAGGCCGTGGGACCCCGCCGAGGGCCGTACTTGCACAGCGGCTCGGCCCGCAGGGTCGCACCATCTCGGCGCCCACTTTCGTGGGCAGCGGGTCTGTGGAACCTCGAGAGCGGGGGCGAGCCTCCCGATTGGTTTGCGGTTTTCGGATGTTGCCGAAGGATTCTTTCGACGAGCAAGAAACGCCATGAGCATATTTTTTTGGCGCTTCGCGCAGATTTCCTGGATTCGCGCTGGGCTCCCCCGGCGGCGCCTCTGGCGCCGCCCCTCGCGCGCTCCCCGCGCCAGGGAGGGGGGTCCAGCGCAGATCCAAGAAGTCCGCGCGTAGAGCGCCAACAGTTTATGGTAACTGACGTGTTTTGCTTCTTCGAAGAACGGGGGCGAGCTTCCCGAATTGTTTACGGTTTTCGGATGTTGCCGAAGGCTTCCTGCATGTTCTTGATGGTGTGTTCAGAGTTTCCAAACAAAAGTACAGAGGAACACCTGCCAAGACACACCCTGCTTGCCTCCAGGGTGCCTTGGGTTTCTTGTGAGTCGATGGTTTTGCTACGGAAAGCGCGACGTTCGCGCACCAGAAATCGATGGACGTCCAGGGTTGGGTCTCTTGTGGAAGGTTTCTTGTGGTCGAGCTCCTACTGCACGGTGTTCGGATGTTGCCGAAGGATTCCTGCAAGGTCTTCATGGTGGTTTCAGAGTTTCCGGAAGTGGAGGCGGAGGCGGATGTGGATTGGAAGGGCGAGACGGTGGATGGGGATGATGAAAAGGGTGGATTAGGTAACGCCAGCTTCCGACCTACATCGACGATGGCCTGCGTTCCCATATTTGGGCCTAGCGTCGGTATATATATATATATATATATCTATCTACATACACACAAGACTGCAGTGGCGCTTCGCGCCATGCACCTTGGTCCTTGAAGTTTGGTATGCAGGCGGAATAGCAGGAAGGTCAAGCCGACAATTTAGAAATTACGCTACCGAGGAACCCCACATACTTATTTTATGTCACGTGTGTTCACAAACCATGTCACATCCCGCTTCGCCTTTTTGAGCCAGACCAGCCAGACTGACCAGACCAGTCAGATCAGTCATTCCAGCCACAACCAGCCAAAGTAATCAGACCAGCCAGCCAGGCCAATCAAGCAGACCAGCCAAACCAACCAGATGAGTCACTCCAACAATCGTCGACGACGGCGACGACGACGACGACGACGACGACGACTGCGGCGGCGGCGGCGGCGGCGGCGGCGCCCAGGCCTCCGAGGAGGAGGAGCAGTGGCAGCAGGAGGGAGGAGAGGGATGGTCGAGGGCAGGTAGAGCGGAGAGGGCAGGAGCGCCCCCGAGTGCGACGACGAGGTGCGACGACCCCCAGCTGTCGGTGGTAAGCATCAAATGCGCCGCGTACCAAGGCGTGCGTTCCCATGCCGGAAAACATATATTCGCAAACCATCCAGGCTCACCTCAGCGCCCATATCTTGCATTGATTTCTTGAGCTGCTCGCAAGGCGGTGGCAAAGCAGACATTGCGCATTTAGGTGCCATGACGGGGACCGTACCTTTGACGGAGAGTCGCCGGCGGCCGTCCGCATTCACATATCCAGCAGTGTGAGCCCGCATGAGCCAGGGTGGCTACAATTCTTGATGATGATAACGATTATGATGCTACAGCTGCGCGCCCCCTATGGTGTCGAGAAAGTGCCACGCCTGCTGTGCCTGGGCGACCGTCGTGCATAGCGGCCGCGCTCAAGGACCACCCCTTGCGCACCCCCTATGGTGTCGAGAAAGTTCCACGCCTGCTGGGCCTGGACGACCGTCGTGCATAGCGGCCGAGCTCAGGGACCACCCCCTGCGCAGCCCCTATGGTGTCGAGAAAGTGCCACGCCTGCTGTGCCTGGACGACCGTCGTGCATAGCGGCCGCGCTCAGGGACCACCCCCTGCACACCGCGTGGTGTCGAGAAAATGCCACGCCTGCTGTGCCTGGACGACCGTCGTGCATAGCGGCCGCGCTCAGGGACCACCCCCTGCGCACCCCCTATGGTGTCGAGAAAGTGCCACGCCTGCTATGGCTGGACGACCGTCGTGCATAGCGGCCGAGCTCAGGGACCACCCCCTGCGCACCCCCTGTGGTGTCGAGAAAGTGCCACGCCTGCTGTGCCTGGACAGCCGTCGTGCATAGCGGCCGGGCTCAGGGACCACCCCCTGCGCACCCCCTGTGGTGTCGAGAAAGGGCCACCCCTGCCACTCTCTGCCGTGCCGTGCCCTGCGCGCCTGCCCTGTGTGCTATGCTGTGCTGAGCTGTGCTGCGATGTGCTGTGCTGTGCCGTGCCGTGTTGTGCTGCGGTGTGTTGTGCTGTGCTATGCTGTGTTGTGTTGTGCAGGTGTGCTGTGCAAAACTGCCACGCCTGCTGTGCCGTGGACGACCCCTATGGCGTCGAGAATGTGCCGCACGTGCCACGCCGTGTGTGTGTGTGAGTGTGTGCTGTGCTGTGCTGTGCTGTGCTGTGCTGTGCTGTGCTGTGCTGTGTGCGCTGCGCTGTGATGTGTTGTGCTGTGCTGTGCTGTGCTGTGCTGTGCTGTGCTGCGCTGCGCTGCGCTGCGCTGTGCTGTGTGCGTGAGGAGGAGGGGGAGGAGGAGGAGGAAGAGAGGAGGGCGGGTGTGGGTGAGACGCGGGTGCGGCGCGGGTGGGAAGAAAACCAAAACCCCACGAAGCATGTGGGGAATAACTCCTTGTTGCCTTTTCCGACATCGCCGCTATAATAATGTTATTCGTTATCCTTCCTCCATGTTTATGTTTTTCTTATGTTCGCCATACCCTGCGCATTCTCCCCATCCTCCTCAGCTTCTTTTTGCGGAGGCTCCTCCTTGGAGAGCCTCTGGGGGCCTCACAAAAGTTATTTCAGGGTTTCTTAAGGCCTTCTGGAGGCCTCCTGGGCGTATTCTGGGGGCCTCTGGAAACTTCCTCGGGCCACCCTGCTTCCAACCGCGGTCTCCCTGAACGACCGGGTCACGACTTGGAAAGCTTCGGAGGGTGTCTTGGGGCCATCTTGGGCCGCCATGGGGCTCTGTGAGGGCCATCTTGGACCCGTGTTGTGCCGTTTTGGAGCTGTCTTGGATTGCCTGGAAGCCATTTCGGAAGGTTGTTGGGCGATGCTGGAGCCTCCCAGGCGGCTTCGGACGCCCAGAAGACCGCCGTCCTGGAGCGTCGCGAAGCCGAAAAGAGGAGAACCCCCAAATTCAGCAAAAACCAACAGAAAATCAAAGATTTGTGCCTCTTGGGGCCTTCTTGGGAGTGCTCTTGGAGGCCTCTTTGGGGCCGTCCTGGAGGCCCTTTGGGCCATCTTGAGGTCACGTCGGTCACTCTTGGAGCGCTCTTGTACTGTCTTGGGGGTCTCTGGGACGTCTCCGATGACCCCCCTGATCGCCCTAGGTGTGCTGGGAAGGCTTGGCAAAACGCCTTGCAAGGCCCGGGGGGCCGCTTCGAGGCCCGTCCGGAGGGTCCCAAAGCCCCAGATCCCGGGAGTCCGGTTTTTTTAGGGGGGGGACGGGTTTTCTCCCCGCCCAGGCTTGTAAAAATATAGAAAGAGGAATATATACACACCCTCCAGGCTAGCCTACGTGGGCGTATGTCCTGGGCCCAGGACCTGCTGTGCAAGGATCCGTGCAGGTGAACAATTGGATACGTGGCGTCGTGGCGTCCTGCTGGAGAGGGTCACGAACAGGAAGATGAGTTGCTCCTTTGCTTCGCCCTCGAACAGATGCTTTCGAGCATGCCACGCCCGAGCTGAATTCTGTGGGGCGTGCGCAGGTTGAATGACGCAGCCAACTGAAGAGTCAAACGACGCAAGCAAGAGGCCACCTAGTCGTCGTTTTCTTATTCATTATTTTGCCGATCGGCGCGGGCCCTCGCAGCCCCCCTTCCCCCCCATGGAATAGATCTTGGCTGTTAGGGCCTTTTTAGAGCAGGTGGGGTCTCCCCCATAGGACGCATTGCTGCAAACGGTCGCGTTAAGCATAGGTCCGGAGCCAGACTCCCCCCTCTCGCCCTCTCGCCCCCCCCTCTTCCGCCCAATGTCGAAACGCCGCATAAGAAAATGGTCGCCTACATGAGCGCGAAGAGCGAAGAGCATCGCGTTTCGCGCTCCGTGGCCAGGGCCGCAGAGCCGCGCGTCTCCCCCCGTGCGTGCGGCGCGAGAGCTCAAAGACAGGTACGACCCGCGCTTCGCGAGGCACGGGGCGCGCAAGAAGGTGGCTTGGGGCAGGAGGACCGGGAGAGGGTAACCGTGCTGTGCTGCGACATGCCCGCTCCGCGGCCCGCAGGCGTATCCGTTGGTGATCGCCGTCTTCATGAAGTTTACGGAGCGTCTTGCGAAGCCTCTGGGTAGGGCTCAGGCTTGCCCTCTTGTTTTCTCTCTCTCTCTCTCTCTGTTTCTCTCTCTCCTTCTCTCCCCATCCCCAGTGGCTCTCTCTCTCGTTCTATAGCTATATGTCTGTACACATATATATATATATATATATATATATATCGTGTGTGAATGTGCATGTTAATATACACGTATCGATCGTGTTATATGTGCAGATCTCTTTTGCATTGTAATCCGCACACCGTTTAGCGAAGTAGTACATGCTATAAACCGTTAAGCGCGCTTCGCGCGCGGAGGGGCATCTTTTGTAAACTGGTGAGCGCGCGAAGCGCGCTCACCGGGTGCGCTTCGCGCGCACGAAGGTGCGGATATTGTAAATTTTTAGCGTACGTCGCGCGCGGAGGTGTCATTACTTCAATTCGTGTGGCGCGTTTCGCGCGCGGAGTGGCGAACATTGTAAACCGTTTAGCTTTTTTCGAGCGGGAGGTGAAACACCTGTAAGTCATTCGGCGCGCTTCGCGCGTGAGGTGTACATGCTTTAGACCGTCTAGCGCGCTTCGCGCGCGGAGGTGCAAATACTGTAAACTGTTTAGCGCGCGTCGCGCGGAGAGGTGTCAGTACTCTAACTCATTTAGTGCGCTTCGTGCGCGGAAAGGCGAGCATTGCAAACCGTTTAGCGCGCTTCGCGCGCGGTGTGTAACGATTTGAAGTTCGTAAAGCATGTAAACCATCTGGGACCTTTTTGAGCTGCGTGTGCGGGAGTTTTGGTGCCGTCCCCGGGCCTTCGCATGGGCCGTTCGGGCGGCCCCTCAGGACCTTGGCCCGCGTCGGCCCGAAAGTGCCCCGCGACAGGCCATGGCGGGCCCCAGAAGGCGCGTCAGGGATCCTGGGACACTTGTGAAGTAGGGGGTGGGGAACATGATTTTCAGCATTGGAGGCTGAGGCTTTGAGGGTAAAGCTGGGGACCTGAGGACACTCCAACTCGCGCCTCAGGGCGCGGTGGTGGATTGTGGGCCGGAGCAGAGGGGCCCGGATGACCCGGATGAAGACGCTGCGGCGCTGCGAAGGCCTACGGCCAGGCCATGCGCCCCCTCCAATAATCCGTCGTCGCCTTTGTCTCCTTGTCATTATTCTTCGCTCCTCTTCTTCTTTTTCTTCTTCTTCCTATTATTATTATGTTTGTGGTTTTTCCTCCTCCTCCTCATCCAAGTCATCCGCCTCGTCCTCCTCCCCCCCTTTTTCTTCTCTCCGGTTGTTTAGCACTCGAGTGGAGGCTCCTCTTCTGCAGCTGCGGAGGCCCAGGCGAACAATGACCCCCCCAAATTGTAATTCTTTACGCTTCGCGTATCCCCACCAGCCCATCTCAAAACAGCAACTCTTGCGAAGCATGCCGACAGTCGTGTTTTTCCCCATATCCTAAGGATTGGGGTTCTTGTTATTACTCTGACGCCTCCCACTCCTCCTTCCTCCCGCCTCCCGCCTCCCTCCTCCCACTGATAATCACCAGATAAGATAAGACAATATAAGATACTACTAGATAAGATAAGATAGCACAATATTTGATAAGGTAGGATACGATACATGACAAGGTAGGATAATAGATAAGACAAGACATCATATGTAGTAATAAGATAAGACAATATATGATGAGATAAGATGAGTTGATATACGATAAGCTAAGGCAAGATAAGAGATTTTAAGATAAGATAAGATAGAGGGTAATAAAGGTAAGATAAGATAGGACTCGATAAGATAAGATGAGACTCACCCTCACTCAGACTCACTCACAGTCACATTCACTCACACTCACACTCTCTCATGATCACAAAACGCTGCCAGGGGCATCATTTGGGAGCCCCAAGGGGGAGCCACCCTGGCTGATCTCACGAGCCCGTTCGCGCCGATTTTGGTGGGACGCCTCAGCTAGAATTGCCGTTTGGCGTCCCCAACATGTATCTCTTGAGAGCCTCATGGTCGCAAAACGCTGCCAGGGGCATCATTTGGGAGCCCCAAGGGGGAGCCACCCTGGCTGATCTCACGAGCCCGTTCGCGCCGATTTTGGTGGGACGCCTCAGCTAGAATTGCCGTTTGGCCTCCCCAACATGTATCTCTTGAGAGCCTCATGGTCACAAAACGCTGCCAGGGGCATCATTTGGGAGCCCCAAGGGGGAGCCACCCTGGCTGATCTCACGAGCCCGTTCGCGCCGATTTTGGTGGGACGTCTCAGCTAGAATTGCCGTTTGGCGTCCCCAACATGTATCTCTTGAGAGCCTCATGGTCGCAAAACGCTGCCAGGGGCATCATTTGGGAGCCCCAAGGGGGAGCCACCCTGGCTGATCTCACGAGCCCGTTCGCGCCGATTTTGGTGGGACGTCTCAGCTAGAATTGCCGTTTGGCCTCCCCAACATGTATCTCTTGAGAGCCTCATGGTCACAAAACGCTGCCAGGGGCATCATTTGGGAGCCCCAAGGGGGAGCCACCCTGGCTGATCTCACGAGCCCGTTCGCGCCGATTTTGGTGGGGCGCCTCAGCTAGAATTGCCGTTTGGCGTCCCCAACATGTATCTCTTGAGAGCCTCATGGTCACAAAACGCTGCCAGGGGCATCATTTGGGAGCCCCAGGGGGGGTCCACCAGGGGCTTCATAGTCACCAAACGCTGCCAGGGGCAGCATTTTGGCTTCCCAAAGAGGAGTCGACCCGGGCCTCCTAGTCGCCAGACACTGCCAGGGGCACCATTGGGATTCAGACTCGCACCCAGACTCACTCATACACAAGCTCACTCACACTCAGATTCATTTCTTCAGAGTCAGGCACACACAGACGTACCCATACTCAGACTCACCCACACTCAGGCTCACCTAACCCAGACTCAGTCAGAAGCCAGTAGCGAAGAGAGCAGAGAGGAGAGAGAGAGAGAGAGAGAGAGAGAGAGAGAGAGAGAGAGAGAGAGAGAGAGAGAGAGAGAGAGAGAGAGAGAGAGAGAGAGAGAGAGAGAGAGAGAGAGAGAGAGAGAGAGAGAGAGAGAGAGAGAGAGAGAGAGAGAGAGAGCGAGAGAGAGAGAGAGAGAGAGAGAGAGAGAGAGCGGGAGAGAGCGAGAGAGAGAGAGAGAGAGAGAGAGAGAGCGCGAGCGCGAGCGCGAGCGCGAGCGCGAGCGCGAGCGAGAGAGAGAGAGAGAGAGAGAGCGAGAGAGAGAGAGAGAGAGAGAGAGAGAGAGAGAGGAGAGAGAGAGAGAGAGAGAGAGAGGAGATAGAGAGACCGGACAAGTAGGCGGACCAGGGTCCGTCCGCGAGGCGCACTGCGGTGCGACAACCCGCAAAACACTATTAGCGGCGGTGCAGCCTTAAGATACGAGGGCGGGCAACAGACCCCCTCCCCCGGCGCATTGCGTCTGAAGCTACGGACGGCGGACAGACTGTGAAGATCTCACGTGTCAGACCGCGTGACGAAGAAGGCCCCAACAAGAAAGGCGACGTGCGGACACGTGGCTAGGCGGCTTGGCAGACCGCCAGTTGGGCGCTTGGCCGCAGCGCGGCGCGCAGGGACGGGGCACCCCCCGCCCCCACGCCCTGACACTGTGGACGCGGGGCCACGCGTGCACACGGGCAGGCAGAATGGCGGAGATTAGCGCGGGGCTCCAGGCGGAGCGTCGCGGAGCGACGACAGCATAGCATGGAGGGTGAGTGGCGGCGCAGCACCATCGGGCGGGGGTGTAAGCAGCTCGGCGAAGGCTCGACCGGCGCGGTGGAGGCGCTGGAGCAAAGGGCCTTGACGGGCTTGGGCAGCGGCAAGGTCGGCGGCGAGAGCTGCGCACCTCTGCTGGAGAGCGGCCATAGACTGGGACAGCTCGGCTTAGCGGTCGGTTCGGGGCGGCTGCTCTGCGCCCGCGGCCGCAGGCCTCGCGGCGGGGACGAGGTCATCGGTGCGCCTGGCCAGGTGGTGGACCAGCGCAGTGCGGCGGTCCGTGCGCTGGCGGCCGTCGCCGTGAAGAGGCGACTGGAGGGTGTCGCGCGGCCCCAGGGCTGAAGCCGCTGGGGCCACGCCCCATGAGGACGGAGGAGCCGCAGCCTCGCAGCCTGCAACAGTAGGAGCGTGGACGGGGCGCGACGGTCTGACTGGCTCAGTGCCCTGCGGGGGGGCTGAAGCCGCCCCCGCGGGCTGGCGCTGGTGGGGGGACGGGGTTGGTGGCACGGAGGGGCCAATCATGATGCCGTGCGAGGGCTCAGAGGTCGGCCGCGTGACCGGGTGGCGACTCGATGAAGCGGCATCGTCGGCAGCGTGGGGTGTCGGCGGGACGTCGTCTATGCTGCCACCCAATCCGAGGGGATCATAAAAGTCCTCGTCGGCGTCTTGGAGGTGGGCGACGTCATCATGTGGGTGCGGTGCCGCTCTCGGTGGCGGAGTCGAGGTGGGCGTCGTGCGGATGCCCGACGGGGCAGGGTTGGCGCTGGCTGGCCCGTCGTCCAGGAAGTCTAGTCCCCCGCCGAAGCCGAACGGGTCGTCCTCCTGTTCGTCGTACATCGCCCGTTGTGCCTCGGCCCAGAGCTCGTCAGGGTTCTGCGGGATGTCTGGTCCAGCCGCAGGTGGTGCCTGGTCCGACAGCAGGGGGTTTGGTTCCATTTTGCTGAGTTCAGCCGCTGTAAACCCAGCCCTGCGGTGTGGGAGCGGCAGAGTACGGTGTCTGCGCTCGTAGATGGCGACAGCGACCCCGTGGAGCACGGTCGCTTGGCGATGTCGTGTTTTGGCAGCTTCAACGATGTCGTCGGAGAGGTTGTGCGTGCGTGCCGCCGCTGTGGCAAGGGCGTCGGCCTGACGGTTGAACTCCTACATGTCGGGCTTGGCCATGACACATCTGTGAATCCTTGCCCAGAGCTCCGCGTGCGTGCCCTGCGGCGCTGGATGTCCGTCGATGATGCTTTGGAACCCATCGACCACCGCCTGGTTGTCCACGAAGACGTGCACGGGCCGTTCGGCACACGCCGTCAGGTGGACGATGGCAAGGGTCTCCGCAACCTGGGCGTTCTGCGTGAG